TTTCTCTCTGTCAAAGGTTTGCTTTTGTTTATGCTATTAAACACATTGAGAAACAGGCACCATTTTGTGTGCATTGAACCCAATATGCAAAGCAGCACTGGTTTCGCTGAGAACATGGCTGTGAATTATAGGGCTGGACACGCTGAGGATGGGAAACATGACTGCAGAAAACGTGGCAGGTACATGCAGCGAGCACTGATGTCGGAGGTCTCTGCGAAGCTTTAAAATAAAATGGCCTGAAAATCTGTTTAAAAAGTTATATTTAAATAGTTTCTAATTTTCATATAATCAATATCCTTTTCCGATATATGTTTTTGACTATATGTTTAAAATATATATACTAAAAGAACATGAAATGCATATTTTTCTGCATGGGACCCATCTTTTCTCACTCTAATTCTGCAGCTGTCTCTCTCTCTCCCTCATTCTCTCTTCAGTAGTGATCAGAGAGATGTGTGGGTGGGAGGCACTATAAATAATACTGGCATCAACCTGAATTTAGACCTCCATCCCCAACACTCTGACTCATGCCTCCCCCTGGTTGTCTCTCTCTTCCCCTGTTTCTCTCTGTCAAAGGTTTGCTTTTGTTTATGCTATTAAACACATTGAGAAACAGGCACCATTTTGTGTGCATTGAACCCAATATGCAAAGCAGCACTGGTTTCGCTGAGAACATGGCTGTGAATTATAGGGCTGGACACGCTGAGGATGGGAAACATGACTGCAGAAAACGTGGCAGGTACATGCAGCGAGCACTGATGTCGGAGGTCTCTGCGAAGTGTCTGAATCACCAGCTCACACACCATAAAGCATCTCTCCAGTAATCTGCTGCCACATGAAGTTACGTAACACTATAATTTACTCATTTAAGATTATAGTACAAATGTCATAAGATATTATATGTGCCTCCTAATGAATAAACCACAAGGATCTACCTTATAATCTTCTAATTTACATTGAGTTGCTTTATAAACATCATCTGATCTGATTTTTAACACACACTTAGTGTGCTTTCTATTATGACAGTTTGAAAGAATACCTTCCCAAAATTTCCAAAAGCTCAGCAACTCCATTGAAACGCTCAGTTTCATAGATGAACCTGCAGAGTTTAAAAATAGATATAATGACAGACATAAAGACTAACAAAAAGCAGTCACTGGCTGTGGAATATCAATACTGCTCATGCGTTTTGTCTGTATGACTGACCTGAGGAAGATATTGTTGATCTGTTTGCGGATGTAGGCCCTCAAGCCCAGAAGTTTGCCATAGACGCGGTGCAGGATAGTCTTCAGATATTCTCTCTCTCTGGGGTCTTCGCTGTCAAATAACTCCAGCAGCTACACACAAACACACACACACACACACACATGTAGTCAGCCCTTTTGCACTTTATTAAAAGCACTACTCGTGAATATTTATAATTGGTGTGAGTAGAATCAAAAATACTAACAGTCCAACATGGAGGTTAGACTGCCTGCTGGGTGTTTGAGAAATATTGCGATTTGACTATGATATGATACACATTTAAAATCTTATATTGCTGCTCTAAGATATCAAGGCTAAAAGAAAAAACAGGGTGTGCCAAAACTACAAATTAGCAATGTTTGTCTCCAGAGGCCGGACTTGAAGATGGGCTAAGATCATTTATAATCGCCTCAAGTCCACTTTAGCTGTACATATTTATTCACATGGTTTCATTATGTATTTATTTTATTTATTATACAATAATGCAAAGATAAATGCAGAATTACATATATTTTTATTACATTGCAGCCGTTTTATATTTACATAAAAGGCCTCTACACCTATACATCTAAATCTATACAAGCTCTGTACCTGTAGAACAAACTTCTGGTCCACGTAGCGCTTGGCAAGAGAAGGCTGGAAATCTGGACTCTCAAGAAAGCGTAAAAAGAATTCATACACCAACTAGATAAAACAAAAGATAGGAGACAAAGAGAGAGGAAATGGGATCAGAGCTGGGACACAAGCTATAAAAAACTCTGATGATTTCTCACCCCGTGGTGTCAGTATATGCGTTAGTGTGTTTGTGTATATAAGAACTTGAGAATGTACATGTACCTGTAAGTGAGGCCAGGAGGCTTCTAGAGCTGGTTCATCCTCCTCAGGGTCAAACTCAGGGTTCTCACTGGGTGGGAGGGTTCGAAAAATGTTCACTGAGATCTACAGGAAGAAGAGGGGTTGAAAGGTTGTGTTTTACTAAAGCATTGCTTTCACATAGCAAATGACATTAAAAGAAAGTGATCCTCAAGGGCCAGAGTTGAGAACCCCTGTTCTAACATCCTATTTAAATGTTCACCTTTATCAGCTTCTTTGCTTCACAATGGTAAGATGATAATACCAGACTGATGCCACCAGAATATAAAACATTTATGACCATATTCAAATGCAAATGCACTTAACAGCTATTTCACATGGTATATCGGTGATAAAAAATATTATTCACAAACCAAATGAATTCCAGTTTAACAAATTTGTTCCATGCTGTGAGTAGTTAAATTAAAGGTATAGTTGACCAAGAAATTAAAATTCTGTCATCGTTGTTGGTAACCAATTTTTGTTACCATTAGTATGGACAAAAAAAAAACACTTTTCAAAATATCTTTTATGTTCCACAAAAGAAACATAAAGTCATTTCTATGTAAAATAAGTCACTGTAATTCTTTCAACACTGCTTTTCTATGCAACTTTGGCTCATTATAGATTTCACAGAAGCTCATTGCTGTTTGCTTTGAACAATTGTGCATTTCAGTTGAATGGAGTTTCAGGTAAATGGAATTGAATTTTAAAAGATGTTTGTGTACATTTTCTATTGATCAGGGGAACAGTAATTCATTGTTACCTGATTTGCATAATTCCTCTTGTAAACAAGGGTCTAAAACAAACACAACGCAACAGCATATGCAAATAAACTATATTATCCAAGGGTGCCAATTCATTCTTAGTGAATCTCCCCCACCTTTGTCTTTCACATCAAAACATAAAAGGACCGGTTAACAAAAATCAATTGCTTCCCAATTAAGGTGTTTTTGTATTTCAGCTACATACTGTACTGGGCTAATGTAGCTAAACACAAGGAAACGTAAATGCTTCTGAGTCTCTAAGTGCACTTTAGAGCATTGGAGATCCTGTGCATCCCTCAGCGATTTATCTCCCCCTGCCTCCTCTGCTCTTTTATCAAATCCCATCCTACTCCATCACTCTTTCACTCTTTCGCAATTCATCTCACCATCTTAATAGCCTCTGGGTACAGGGGTTCGATGAGGACTCCGCGACTGGTGGCCACGCTCTCCACAAGCTCGTTCAGCGCAGCACGTTTGATCTCTTTCCCCTTCAGGTCGGCGACACAGTCCAGAAAGTCAAAAAGCACACAACACTGCTGCAGCTTCTTACAGAACAAGTCATGAAGTTCCACCACTGGCGCATCTGTGGGACGGGAAGATGAGGAGATGTAATCTAGTGCACAAATATACTTAGACAATATACACAATTACACTAAACATTTACTATTTACTATGTTTTTCCTAGTGCTATTAAACCTGGAATTGCACACTACACTCTTAAAAAACAAATGTTCACTGGCATCTATGGTTACATGAAGAACCTTTAACATCCAGAGAGCTTTTCCATTGCACAAAAGGCTCTTTATAGTGGATAAAGGGTTCTTTATATTATTAAAATGTACTTCACACTAAAAATAAACAATTACTTTAAGAACTGTTCACTAAAAGGTTCTTTAAGGAACCCAAAATCATTTTTCTATGGCTTCGCTGTGAAAAACAAAACCCTTTTGGAACCTTCATTTTTGAACATTACATAAACATTGTTAACTCTGTGATAAATTGCTTATGTTCCTTTATTGTAAGTTGCTTTGAATAAAGGCACCCGCTAAATAATGTAATGTTACAATCTTAAAAATAAAGGGTTGTCGTAGCGATGCAATATAACATTTTATTCACTAACCAATTGAAATGGACTTTAACACACTAGCACTGTTCTGGATTATTTAAATTAAAGGGGTCATATGATGTTGCTAAAAAGAACATTATTTTGTGTATTTGGTGTAATGAAATGTGTTTATGCAGTTTAAGGTTCAAAAAACTGTTATTTTCCACATACTGTACATTATTGTTTCTCCTCTATGGCCCGCCTTTCTGAAACGCGTCGATTTTTACAAAGCTCATCGGTCTGAAAAGCGAGGTGTGCTGTGATTGGCCAGCTATCCAGTGCGTTGTGATTGGCCGAATTCCTCAAGTGTGTGACGGAAATGTTACGCCCCTTACCATACTGTGATGCCGTGTCCCGGAGCGACAAGACAAAACCAATACAACCCATTATAAACGAGGCATTTGTTGCATCCAGTGGGGACATAATTACGGATTATAATGACTTATTCTTTTTATGCGTTGCATTGCATCGCGCCGTGCCGTGTAAACAAAAAACCATGTCTGCATTTGTGATCGGAGAAATTACAAACTACAAACACTACTCTACACTGCTCAAAACTCGCGTTTGAATCATCAGTGGCAAATTCTTTAAATATAAAAAACGTACTTACAGTCTGTGATTCAGAACAGCCGGCATTGTAGTCTACTCTCCCAGGATCAGTAAACAGTCCTCCATAAAATGCGCTGCACACATCTGAATATTTGGGTTGAACTGTTCTGGAACAGTGTTGTAAATACAACTTAACCACTGATTTCTAGTCGTGTCCTCTTTTGAAAGGCCAAACAAAGTAGTTTCGCTTTCACAATGAAACACAGCGTCACACACGGCGGGCTAGAGTGAGCTTGGGCTCACGTTATGCAAATCTTCCCACATCGTGACGTAGACATGTGGGGGCGTGTTAGAACGAGCCGTTTTAGGTAGGCGTGGTTGACTCTTAACTTTTATAAAGAATATCTCTTTGGATTTGAGACTTTATTCTTTGCAACTTTACAGATCTTCTTTATGCACCAAGAGCTTGTAACACTTCAAAGAGAAAAGAAAAATTGAAATCGCATCATATGACCCCTTTAAAAAGAATGTTCACCCAAAACCTAAAATTCTGTCATCATTTACTTTCCCTTATGTCGTTCCAAACGTGTATGATTTTCTTTCTTTTGCAGAACACAAAAGAATATATATTATATAGTTTTGGTGACCGTTGACTTACATTACGTGGTGAGAAAAAAAAACACTGAGATACTGAGTCGTGTCATACAAGTTTGGTTGAGTAAATAATGACAGAATTGTAATTTCCCTTTGTTTACTGTAATTATTTTCAGTAATTTTTTTATAATGATACACTCTTAAAAATAAAAGTTCCAGACATGGGGTTTCATAGTGATGCAATAAAACCATTTGTGATCCTGGAGCACAAAACCAGTCTTAAGTCGCTGGGGTATATTTGTTGCAATAGCCAACCATACATTGTATGGGTCAAAATTATCGATTTTTCTTTTATGCCAAAAATCATTAGGATATTAAGTAAATTTTGTAAATTTCCTACCATAAATATATCAAAACTTAATTTTTGATTAGTTATATGCATTGCTAAGAACTTAATTTGGACAACTTTAAATGCGATTTTCTCAATATTTAGATTTTTTTACAACCTCAGATTCCAGATTTTTAAATAGTTGTATCTCGTCCAAATATTGTCCTATTCTAACAAACCATACATCAATGGAAAGAATGGAAAGCTTATTTATTCAGCTTTCAGATGATGTATAAATCTCAATTTCCAAAAATTGGCCCTTATGACTTATGGTTTTGTGGTCCAGGGTCACATTTTTGGTTCCCCAATGAAGCCTTCAATGAACAATTCTTAAAAGAACCATTTTTTATAGTGTGAATAATCTAAAGTGTTTTGATAATCTAAAGAACATTTTTACACTATAAAGATCCTTTTGTGCATGGAAAGGTTGCATGAATGTTCAAGGTTCTTCTTGGAACTATCAATAAAGAACAGCTATTTTTTTAAATTGTATGCACCCACACGGCACAATTACATTAAAGATTGTTGGAGTTACACAGACACTTGGATCTCTAGAGTATATTAATGCAGATTGCTTGAAGTGGATGGACGGGATGCTAATGAGAAGTAAGTGGAGGCGTCTGGTGCTAACAGGATTAGTGGGTGCTATCTTTAACCCCGCGCTGTCTCGCCCCTCTGTGGACGTAGCGCCTTGAGCCACAATAACCATGACAATCCACTCCATTCATCCAAAAACTCAACCCAACTTACATACCCTACCGTTCCTTTACTTCGACGTGTGAATCGATGTCTCTGTCTCTCTATCTCTCTCTTTCTTTAACCTCAGCATGGCACTTTGTACAATTACTCTCCATTAAAAATGGATTAGTCTTAACAGTCTGCAACAGCTAGACTCAAACCAAGTGGGTTGGATTGCAGCAGGTTAGGTCAAAGGAGACAGATAAAATAAATAATAAACAGAAAGTGCAAATAAAGAGAGGGATGTGATGAAAAGAGGTGGTTATGTAACGGTGTGTGTTTGTTTGTTTGTAGTCAGAGGGAAGGATAGGGTGCAAGAGAGCATGACACAGCCACAGCAGTCAGAACAGAAAAAAAACTAAATTGTCCAGGAAAAAGTGTGAGAGAGAAAGAAGGCGGAGACACAAGGAACTGGAGATGCATAGTGAATGAGAGGAAGAGCAATGAATGAAATTGGAATTTGAAATGAACTTAAATCATGGAAGGAATGTGAAAACTATAATGACATATGTGAAGAAATAGCAACAGTTTTATGTCTGAAGTTAAGTATCACTCCAGTTAGACCAGTCGTCGCTCTAATAAACGTGCTGTTATGTTGTACATGCAAAGCTGCTAAATATAGAGCAGCTAATAAGCAACAGTGGGGCATAGAGAAGGAGAGAGAGAGCGAGAGAGAGAGATGCATGCTACGGGAAGAAACAGTGCAGAGAGAGCAGGAGAGATGATGTCATCCCTCTACCCTGTTCCTCTCTTCATGATCTCCCTTTACCCCTCCTCTCCATCCTTCTCTCACTCTCATTCTCTCTGTGGGTCTCTTTCTGTGGCAGTGTGGTTTTAATGAGTAAACTCTTTCTGGTTAAAGAGTTATTACTGCATTTGGGTGGCACTTGAAATCCTGTATTTTTGAACCACCAAAACCCACAAAATAGCAGAGCAAAAATACTGCACAACAAAACAGGAACCTTGAACTGCCACGTTTCACATGAGCTTTTTTGATGAAATGCTGAAGGCAAATTTGGAATTCCACTGAAACTGAACCTCAACACCAGTACAGGAAGCTATATATAATATAAAACAAATAAATATGTATAATACTATATTATAATATCTTTCAAATTAACGCTATTAATTAAGCTCTAAGGTTAAAGCATGACTTAAATAAATATTAAATCACGTATATTTATTGAAAGAAAATGGTATACTATAAAATACACCATTTTGGTATGTTTTTACAATACTACAAAAAATATTTCATATAAATGCTGTCCTTTTAAACTTTCTATTCATTAAAGAAACAAACATGTACCATCATTTCCACAAAAATATTAAGCAGCACAACTGTTTTCATTGATAATAAAAAGCAATGTTTCTTAAGCACCAAATCCGCATATTAGGATGATTCCTGAAAGATCATGTGACACTGAAAATTGAGCAATGATGCTGAAAAATCAGCACAATAAATTAGACTTTAAAATATATAAAAATAGAAAACAGTTATGTTATTATTAACAAAATGTTAATAATATTTAATTAATACATTACTGATATATTACTATGATATTACGCAGAATTTATATTATTAACACAAAATCATTATACAGATAAATGCAGATTTGGTGAAGTATAAAACAAACTATTTTACAGGTCCCAATGTTTGGGGGGGATTTATATATATTTTCCTTCACTTTCTATAGACAAGGACAAGTATGGCTCAACAAATCTTGTTCTCAACAATAGCTCTCCCTCAGTACAGTGTTCTTCCACTTATAGCCTCACATGCTTATCCACTTCACTCTCTCTTTCTCTAATGCTCTTTTTCTCTTCCCTGTCTCTATAATCACTCACTCACCCCCTTTTTATTCTCTCCCTCTTCCTCTCTTGCCCTCTTTATTGATCGGAGGAGGCCAGAGAGGGAGCAGGCCTTCTGTGTACTGTAACCTAATACCGGCCCTGACCAGCTGGACCCTGCAGGAAGAAGCAGGCAGATATATACACGCCCCGAAAAAAATCACTTTCTTATACACAGACATATTTGTTACCCTGAAACAATGATTCACAACTATAGTACACAAGTACAGTAATCATCATACTCCAAGGTGATTTGCTAACAGATTTGAGAAGCTGTCTAAAAACACTCATTTCTGTTACATTTATGGATTTGGGAGTTTTGAATCTGCAGACCGAGAGCTCTGAGCTGCCCATTGTCCATGTGGAAGACACTCCAGCACCCTCCAGCAGTGGCAGCTATTTACAGAGACACACGCTCACAAACTCACGAGGACTAGTAATGAAGTCACTCCAGAGGCTTAAATGGAAAAAATAACACAAATTAACTTGAAGAGCAGAACTCGAAGGTCTACAAATGAGGGTAAGCACCACCAATGGCTCACACCATTAACATATCTACAGTCTTTTTTTTCCGGTAACTAATAACCCAGGCTAGCAAACCTGGCAGTTTTGGCCATATTTTTAATTAAAGATTCAGGTCATGTTTTGGACTGAGCATCTCAGCTGTTTTCCTCACTTTCCCTCTACTGCACACAGATAGAGACTCGCAGGTAAATTCAGAGACCAAACAAACACTCACAGGTTCTGTGTCAGGTGGCGTTTGTCATGCTCTGCTAAGCTAATCTTGTGTTTAAAAGGCATTATATATGTCACATCTAAATATGCCATACCATTAATGGAGCTTAAATATGTAGCAGGTACAAGTTGCAAACAAAAAAAGCAGACGACAGTAAACGTTTACCAGTCCATGTATACAGTACATGTACTACTGACTGCCATTCTAATAAGTGTTATTTAGATGTTGTGATCATTAAAGAGGCTTCACTTTATTTTTTGCTATAAGGGATATAATAATCGTTACCTATTTTGAGTTCAGTAGAATTAAGAAAGATCCCAAAATTGAGACTGATCAAAACCTAAGTTTCATCAACAGTTAACAGTTTTTTTTACATGGCTAGCATTTGTCAGTGGTTTGATGATATTTTACATGAAACTGATGCTTTATGAGGTATAATCAAAGACAATACCACATGCAACAGTGCATTTTATACAGTTACAGTTTACGAAATGAAACCAGAGCTAAATAAACCTATAGCTACTCATATGGGTTGATAAATACATTGTACCTAGTAAGAAGAAATTAAATGTTGATTTACAGTGGAGATGTGTCTCAGTGGCATGTGAATGACTAAAAGCAGGTCAGTTAGATGGTTAAACAGGACAGAGGCTCAGTCTGGACCCCCTGTGACACACCAACTGGCAGCACACCCTCAGCTGGAGTGTCTCATGAAAACTGGTACCACTAAACCCAACTTCACTGGAAATGTCGCTCAGATGATTCCTGTATTAGACTAAGTGAATCATATCCTGCTAAAGTGTGAATCATGAAGTCGTGCACAAACTGTGGGGATAACACTGCATCTGTGTATTCTTTGTGAAAAATATGACAAAGTTTCATAGTTACTCTGAAAATTAGGTGCTATGCATCTCATCTTTATTATTTAAGACTTTAAGACACACTCTCTCTCTCTCTTTCTCTTTCTCTCTCTATATAGCTGTTTACCTGAGCTTTCTAGGTTCTTGTTACAAAATTCTGTCACTCTTATACTTCTATAAATTAATGGATTATGCTAAACTTCCCCCACACTCAATACAGTTACTTCCCCCAGCCACTACCCAGTCTGTGGCTTACAGTTTCTCCATCACTTCAGGTTGATGGCCAAAATGAGCTCATGGAAGTAGAACTATTACAGTCTCCTGACTGAGGATGCTTTTAACCACAAAGCTTCCTAAACTAAAACAAAGTACTTGGCACTGATTATGACAAGAGAGAACAATGGATTCAAAAAGTATTTTTTCCTTCTAGTTAAATGAACTTATTTAAAATAAGGTAATGCAATACTATAATTTCATGCCATGCCAAACGCTTACATTTAAAAAAAAAAAAAAAAAGAAGTTTACTCAATGCATTTGTTTTGGACTACATGAAAACATTTTGTTGCCATTAACTAAACTGGACAAGGAATTTCTGATTCCAAGCAAACTTTGCATAGGACTGTTGACTAGAAATGTTATTTTTGGTGTTTTTGTGTTATAGATTCTATGGTTTATGTTGAACAGTTACTATTTAAATCCCACTGCAATGAGCAATCTCTTGCCAACATCCTACATTTTATCATACGAAAAGTTACACTGCCATGCTAGCTAGTACTGCAAACGATTTCATTTCAGATAATTGTATAGATATAATCTGGGATTACTCAATTAGGTTTCTGCTACCCGACACAAGGTAGCCTATCTGAGTTGAGCTGAATTTAATGTTACAAAAATTGCTTTCCAACAAATATAACCAATATAAGTTCAGCCAAAACATTGAATCATTTAGTTTAGGCTATATACCTTTGAATGACGTTATCATTAGATGAAAATTCTGCTGAGTCTACCTGTGTTCCTCACAGAGGAGTCCTCAGAAGATTTAGTTAAATTTGGAGTCCTTATGGAGGTACCATGACATCTCTCAAGGATGCTCAAGAAGACATTGAGTTCATAACCACCAAAATGGCTGTAATAGCCTATTTCAATATCAGGGGATTTATTTTCATTGTCATCATTTCCTAACTAACATGCCACTAAAAACCAACCACCTCACGTCCCAGTTAAAGGAACCTACCTTTAAGTAAGGGCAGCGGCGTGAGCTCCACCTGGGAGCTCTGATAGCGGAACTGTGAGGAGCTATGGGACCGTCGCTGCCGGGCACGGCGCATCGAGCGGCGGGGGAAGCCGTCTACTTTCTCTGCGCTCGGTACAGAGAAGCCCGTGGTAGGCGATGATGGGCTCGACGGAGGTAGCTTCGTGGGGGTCTCCATCGCTGCGAAGGTGGTGCTCGGCAGAAGATTGTTCGAGGAAGGCAACCAAAGGCGAGAACTGGCTCCTAAAGGCTTGTTATTTAGTCAAATATTTTTTTCTTTTGGATTTAAAAAGTAAAATCAACAAGCAGGGATCGACTAAAGACAGAAGTTATCTAACCTGGTCAAAAATGTAGACAGAGGGATGGTGGAGTAAAAGCTATCGGTGTTCAATTTGACGCGTCTCTCACTCGTGTTACATTAAACCCCCCCACCAAAAAAACGAGACTCGGAAATAAGCACAAGGGTGGATGTAATTGTCTATATCTTCATGAAGAGATATTGAGGTGAACACACATTTCTACAATAAAGACATCTCTGCCGTACTGTCGTCATTAGAAAGTCATCGGCCTAAATTTGGTTTATTTAAATATTTATAGGCTAGAGGCATAAATCGGTACCGTATTAAAACTCGGATGTAATAAGCATTCTATCCAATGATCACGGGCCAATTAATCCATGTTGAAAAACAAACGCGCGATAAAACAATCCTGTCATTTATCTCTTCCGCACAGGTACAAATGCATCACTTATTAATTAAAGGTTATCGTCATAGCCTATTACCAGTCACCAGTTCTGCGCCTTAAGTCCTTTTCAGAGCCTTCCAGCGTCCCCCTATTAAATCCGTTACCGTACAGTCGGTTCGGTTCGGTCAGATCCACACAGGGCGGGGATGAACTGCTTCAAACGTGCCTACATGTGTAGAGCATCACGGCGGCCGCTGCAGCACTGATACCCCCTTCTACCTCCTTCCCTCAAATACAAGAAACCGCTGTTCAATTAGGCTGCTTCTGTATCACAAGGACGTTGACGTCTCGCTGATTTTCCCCGTCGCCCTTCCTCTCCGCTGATTGCTCGTGTTTTTCCCGTTTCTTTATTTCCCAGCAGTCAGTGTCGGTCGTTGTCTTCAGGTGGTGCAAGTAGATGTAGATGCTACACACTGCGGTTGACGCTCACGCGCTCTTATTTATTTATTTACTCATCTTACATTTACGCGACCCTCTAGACGTCGCGCTGCTATGGCTATATCGTTGACTCTATTCGCCGTTTAAGTGACTATATAGATGCTATTTGTTTTTATTTCATCCGTATCTTAATCAGACAGCTGTCTTCTACCTCAGCCCTTTTCCTTCTCCTCCCTCTGTCCCTCCCTCACTGGCTGACACAGTCTGTGTTAGCCGCTGTGTTTTGGGACTGTCAGGTTGGCCATTGTTCTTGCTTCATTCGTTCATTATTCCGCGCGCTCACCCGTCGCTGTATCCGCTGATTTTTGTTCAATCCGTCGCTAACTGCGAGTTTTGTAATAGCCTACCGGTCGAAAGACGACGTGCCGCTGACCTACCTTAAGACCACTAAATGTGATGCTGAACGTTATGGGCGTTTTGGCTATCGAGAGACCCTCGACTACTGTACCGCCGAAAAAAAATATCGAGTGCTATTGATATGGCTTGTTTTACAGAAATGTTCTTCAAGTATTCATTCATTGACCTATGCTTAAGTGTATATGAGTCATTGACAAATACGAATGTTTACACAATTATTTAAAAAATCAAGTTAAAAATGTTTAGGCTATATAGCCTACAATTTATATTTTAATGACTTAAAATGGCCAGTTTTATTACCATCAAGTACAACACAAAAAATAAATAAATGCATAATTTTTTTTATGAAATACTAAATTAGACCAAAAACGTTTTTAAAAAAAGACTAAATAGGCCTACTTTTTTTTTTAAATCACATTTATTTATTTATTTACAAATATCATACATTTTAAAGTCTTTAATATTAAGATGTTTGCCTAAACATACTCTACTTGACCAGAAAATCCTCCTCATAGAAAGATTAAAATGTCTGTGTCAATAAAATGGCTACCTGCATATAGGTCACACCATGCTGATTTGACAGACAGCTTTTTTAAACCATTAAAAATATTTACATTTAAAAAAATGAAGAATTAAAAATTGTCAAATTGTTTATACCACCATTTCCTTTTATTTTATTTTATAGGCAATCTACAGTTACGCTTTTTTCACTATAATCCCCACTAAAACATTATTTCTAATTCAAGCTAATTCAAAAAAATATAAGTTTCGAACAATGAACAAAATTTTAAGTTTAGTCACAGGACGTACCTAACGCCGTTTCACATTCATAAAATATTTCTCAATGTTTCCCAGTGGTGTTTTACATGTAAGGTTGACATTGTGATACATGTGTTTTGGGACTGCAACAGGATGGAGGGAGCTTCACAAAGCTGTACACAAGATTACTGGTAAATCCTTTGCATACTGTCTCCGAATGCATATCTTTTGAATTGTAACATTTTAATTGTGTCTTGACCATGGTACAGAATGAAGAGTTAAATATTTGTACATATTTTGTAAAAAAAAAATGTATATTTCTTTAATGGTCAGCCAGTCAGTATGTGGCTGAGTCAGGCTACTTCTCTTAAACCATTAGAAAAACTAACCTATGACTTACATCAGAGGCCTAATGACTTTTGGTATACTTGGTCTCCTCTTTGGGCTGACTATTAAATTCCACTGAACTCAGTACATATTTTGGTTCTACGTATATGTTCATCTGTTCTGGATTTTTGTTTGTTTGTTCATCTTTCTCTCCTTCTTCCTTCACAATGTCTTTGTATTGTAAGACAGTGATTGACTGTATATGTTGCCAGGGGATACCTGTACCACTGCTGTGTTATTGGCATATATGTTGTGTAGCATGTCTTGTAAGACATTAAAGCAACTGCATGTACCTTTTTTACAGTACCTTGAAACAGTGATATATTTAGAAGGAGCTCCAAAATTGCCCAAATACACAAAACTACACAGTTGCTTTAATCTTTAATGTATTTTTAAATAAAGAATGAGTGTCATTGACCCATATTTCAATAAATAACACTTCAAATTATTAAAAATAATTTATGAAATAATTTATTTACAAATCAAAATGGATTAAAGTATGGAATCAATAAGCCCAACATAGGCTGTGGTCTTACATATAAAAATATATAATGCCCGTATCTAAAATATAGCTACATGTAAATGCCATCTGTAAGTATTGTTTAAATAAATTATACAAAACAACATATTCACACTTTAATGGATCATGGTTTTTAGCACCATTAGCATTTGAACACAACAAAAAGGGCTGTTTGCAGGATGTAGTAGTGTGTAAGCCTTGTGACCAAATAACTGACTGTACAGCACCTCAAAACTGCTGTAGACACCCATTTCCATTCACTGAGTCCCATGGACACCAATCACTACTGTCGAGGAGGTCTGTTAGAGATAGGTCCCCTGAATTAGTGTCTGGTAAGAACGCAAGTTCCGGCAAGAGGTTGGGGTCAGAGTTGAAGGTGATATCTGAGGTAGAGGGTGTAGCTGTGGACAGTCCTCCTGTAACACTAACTGATGGTTCAAATGGACACAGTTTAGTGCAGTGAGGTATATGTTGTTCCAAGGCTGTGGTGTAGAATTGAAGCTCCTTCTTTAGTTCAGCGATTTCTTTTATGAATGCGGTATTAGACTGCTCTAGGGTTTGGAGTTCCTAGGCAAAAAATAAATAAATATATCAATTAGTTTATAGACAATACAATATTGACATGAAAAGCAGAAGTAACAAAGTGAAAGGAATGCGGCAGTAATGCAAGTAGTGTCAAATAAAAAGTAATTTAAAATAGATTTGACCTGAGCTGCTTTTCCCACATATAAAGTTCATAGGTCATTACACATATTACACATATTAAAAAAAATAAAAATAAAATTCAGACTTCCTCATATTTTGTTAGTCTTAGAAGGGATCTGAGATTATTGGGTTGGATAAAAAAAAGGGAAAGTCCAAGATTTGTACATCATCTGAAGTGAAAATGAAAGTGAATGTATGACATGTCAGATGTTAAACTAAAATAACTAGTCAGCCGCTAGTGTAACTAATCTGTAAGCTGTCCCAGTCATGCTCTGCTTTTCCAAGAAATGCCTCCTCTGCACTGAAAGGTTGTGCAATACTAATGCTCCTCTACACACACACAGACTACAAACTAATCATTAACAAACACACACACACAAAAAAATCCTCCAGAGAAACGTACACATTCTCCTGAAGGTTATGCTTATGGCACATTACTTCATAATTCCAAGTAAGAATATAGGCTATGTAGCTGACAATAACAATAATAAAGAACAAAAGGTATAAATATAGTTGTGTGCAGTAATGTGAATGAAAAGATACAGCAAAAGTAAGGATATGAAGAGGTAACGTAAATAGGGACAGAGCAAAACAAACCCATTCAAAGGAGAAAAAGAGAGCGTGTCAAAGGTTTCAATTTGCTACTGACCTCATGCAGCATGTCTGCCTTTTCTGTCTGTTTTCTGCGATTCTTGCGAGCTGCATCTCTGTTTTTCTCTCTGTGATGGTGCCTGTGGTCCTCTGACTGTGTGCTCTAAAGATATTTATCAGATCATATATATGATTTACAATATATAATATAAATATGGATTTATTTATATATAAACAAATAATTATATATATATATATATATATACACAAATAATAAATATTATAGCTACATATAACAAAATATGTAATAAAGTATTTTATTGCTTGTAATAACAGCGTTATATTTATACATACTAAAATCACATTAAATGAATGAATTCACTCCTTACCCAATCAAGAGGACTTTGAGAATCACTTTGAGAGAAAGGACTTCCCTGGTCAAAGTTGTCCATGACAGCAGCTGGCATCTCCAAGTGCACGGATGCTTTTCGACAGTTAAATCAGAACAAAATGCTTGCATGTATACTTTCAGAATAAATCAACGGTCTTTAGTAGTATTTCAGTACTGCACAAAATTCGAATTGAATTCGAAATTGCTTCTTCGAATTGAAAAGCAAGCGCGTTGAAAGAATCCTGAAGCAGAAGTTGTCTGAACAACTACAGTGCCTGGTCATGATTTAAACTGGTCTGAGGTCTTTGTGATGTTGGCCGTGGGCGGCGGAATGAGCCAATAGCTCTGTGAATGGACTGACGCAACAGAGGGGTGGACTAGACTGTTTTCGGTTTCGAATTATGTTAAATGGCCCGGTTAGCGGAGCAGGGAGATCATCGCTTCCGGCACTGTATTGCCAGTATTTAGGTTGTTCATTTCCCGCTCTACACTGACAAATACTGGGAATTCCAAGCAGGAAGTCCAAACGGGTGTAGCTGTGAGGGATCTGAAGGCTTAACTATGTAAGGCTATTACAGTATTTCATTATTACTCAAATTAATGTAACAAATTAAATGAATCCAGCATTTTTTAAATATTTACGAGTATAATTTAGCAGTTACAAGGTTCTGCTGGGAGAAATGTTTGCAATCGTGTCTTTCATTTACAGGCATACGGTGGCAGCTGATGCATAAGAATCTGCTGCAAACATAAGGGCTGCAATTTCAAGGAGGGGAAAACAGAAACCTGAGACAAATGAAACAAACAAGGAATTTACCGTAAGGTTTCTTTCAGGGGGACTGTCCTACAGTTAATGTAGATACTACACTTTTCTTTCGATGAAAGCCAAAGGACACTGACAAACAGTCTATTCAATTACACGTTTTACCAGCAGCAGTTTTAACATTAAGTGACATGACACCTGACACAGATGCCATTGGCACATGCCGCTATGCTCAGTGACACTTCCGGTTTTCAGTGGCATGTGTCACTAAAACCTGTGACACATGTCAATGGACTGCGTCTTGTGTCAGTTGCCGCGGTGCGTGTCGCACCTTCGGTAGTGACTGACACCTGCCGCTGGGTGTCGCTGCATAATGTAGATTGCGTGACACACGCACTTAACTATGGAGGACCAAACCTGCAGAAATTAAAAACGAATAAATATATAGATAAATAAATAAATAAAATGACAGGAAAATAAATAAAGGAATAAATGACTTGATAAAAACACATATAGTTCATTTGTAATCAAATTTAACCCTGAATTAATTTTTTTTATTACTTTTTCCTTTATGTATTATATTATTTTATGTATTTATTTTTGCATTTATTTTAATTAAATTTATTTATGTATGTATTTATTATTTTTTATTCCCACGTGTATTTATTTCCAGATTTATTTATTCATTTATTTCTTCTTACTTTTCCGTGTGCAAATGAGGGAGGCGGTCCTTGCGGAGCTCCAGTGAATCATTGGTTGAGAGCTCAGAAGCGTCAGATCAAACTAACGGTAGAGATTGGAGTTTGTGTGATCAACTGTAGAGTTGCAAGATATTTTCACAGATTCACGTTATGTCGAATTATTTTATAGCGACTGAATTCACCTACTTATCCTGACAGTTTCGTCATTAAGTCCATCAACGTCGTCGATGAGTTTCTAGTTTGATGACGCCTCTAGACACACTTGGTTGTATTTTTCATTGTAAGTTTATTTCCAGTAGCCTGTTTTGTGCAATGCATTCAAATACGTAAATACGCGTTTTTTTCATTTTTGCATAGATTTGACAGTTCAGCTGTATCATTTGTAATTATAAAATAATATAAAGACTATGCAGAGGCCATAACTAAAAAAAAAAAAAAAAGAAAGAAAAAAGAAACGTTTTAATCAAATGTGCCACCACTAACTGATACTTACCAATCAGGAATTAGCCTACATATAAATATAAACTGATGAGAAAATGCCACAAACCATTATGATGTCTACTATTCTAACGTGCTTTATGAAACTTACACCAACCATTGTAAGTACTGCCTCTCCGTTTTAGATCACAGTATTTTTGATTCATCATATTATTGTTTATAATGAGATATAAACTATAAAATGATGATTGTACCATTACAAATGTATTATTATTATTATTATTATTAATGCCATACTTTACAATGCTGCAATAAACATCTTCACTGAGATCTTCAATATTCTCATTATTTTTTGTTACACTTGTAATTGACCATAAACACCACTAATACAAAGGTTCTCTGTATTAATGTTATTATGGTTGCTTGTTTGTAATTATTATTTTTAATGTAAAACTCCACCCTTAATTAAGAGACTATAATATTTGGCAGCTAATGTTAAATGTTAAATAGTGATTGAGTACAACAAGCAAGATGACCTGCTCCACCCTTTTTTTCCTTGACCATAGATGGCACAAAATCTCATCTCAGCACTTTTGAATAATTCGAAACGTTTCGACGAATTTCGACGTTTTGAAATAGTTTTGTGGATAGTTGGTCTAATTGTGTGTCTCTGTAGTGATCTATAAAATTGTATGATGTTGAATATCAAAGGTTTTGGCACAGAAGACCCCAAGTGGCATGTTGTTACTAGTTTTTATAATTTTTTTAATTCTTAAATTTTTCCATAAATTAGATCTATTTCAGATACATATGTGCAATTCAGACATCTTTGCTTTCATTAAAACCTTTACTAGAACTGAGTAAAATCATTACATTTGCATTTATAGTGTTTCAATTATGTTTTCAATTAAAATATGGGCAATTAAATATGTAAATATTAATATGCTTGCATATAAATCATAAATATGTTTTGTATTTTACTGTGATTCTACTTTGTAGCAGGCCATCTTACCCCTTTTAATATTTGACATTTTGTGCTATAACAGTTAAGTTAGCAACTGTTTGAGTTTAGTTCCCATAATAACACATTGGCTGATACATCATCATCCTGCACATGCTAAACTTATATCTAAATATGTTACAATTTAAAAGTAAATCCACATTGTTCTTAAGGGGGCACCTTCTCCCGTCCTACCCAAATAACAATAGGGTAAAACTAGCATGGATGACCAACCGATCAAACAACCAGTCAGATAAAAGTAATTGAGACGAACCTACTTTACGAGAAATCGTTTTGGTGGAGTTCACTTCAGCTCACATGTTTAGAAAATTCACATAAGGGGGCGCTGCTATAGAAACGAATGATTTTACTACAACGTTCAGACACGCCCTTGCCGCGGTTTTCCTTCACCAATAGAAAAAGCCCAAGTATGAATGACAGGTAGAACAGCCAATCATATACCTTCAGCTCCATCTTTACGCACTCTCTAACCAATCATATACTTCATACGTGTTGCGTCAACTCATAGTAACGCTTCCTTGTTTCCAGTATGGCTTTGCACTAAACGCATGTCGCTGTTATTTAGGAAATTATTTTGTGTTTCAATAGTTAATGTGTTATTTCGGGTCAAGATCAATTCAGTGTTTTATACTTAAACGTTTGCGATGGGTTTACTGACGATCTTGAAGAAGATGAAGCACAAGGAGCGCGAAATGCGTCTACTGATGCTGTATCCTTTCACAGAACTGCATTCAAATGTATTCATATAAATACATTTGAAAACAATATTCTTTTTAAACCGCTGTTGTTTTTATGTTTAATAAAGTACATTCTTACTCTATTCACAAGTGTCAAATTACTCAAATAAGGCTCGTTTAGTGTAATGTTCTCATTACTCGTGATGCTAAAGACTGTTGTGAGTCCTTAACCTTTCTTTATAGTGGTCTTGACAATGCTGGAAAAACAACCATCCTGAAGAAGTTTAACGGCGAAGATGTCAGCACGATCTCTCCAACATTAGGCTTCAACATAAAGACACTCGAGCATAGAGGGTACGGCAGAAGTCTGGTTGTTATATATGTTTTGCATAAGTAAGAGGTTGAGAGCATGATTAGATGATAACTTTTAATGAAACTAATTGGCAAAAAGGCTATATATATATATACATATATATATATATATATATATATATATATACACACACACACACACAGATAGAGAATGTACAGATATACAAACTGTTTGTTGACCAATGTTACTGTGATACATAACCAAGTGCTATATTTTTGTTTCTTTTTCTTCACACTGAGACTAGGTTTAAGCTGAATATCTGGGATGTGGGTGGCCAAAAGTCATTGAGATCATACTGGAGGAATTATTTTGAGAGTACAGATGGACTGGTGTGGGTAGTGGACAGCGCTGACAGATTGAGACTGGAGGACTGCAGGAAAGAGCTGAGTGCTTTATTACTAGAGGAGGTGAGATGACCAATATCTTGGACCTATGGAGTTTGAAATGAAATGGTCAGATTTTGACATTTCTTTACTTAGCATCTTTTTTTAGTGAACATAAAAGGCCACATAGTTTTGAATCAATAAAATGTAATGTGTGGGCTTTATAATATACATTACACTTTATAATTAATGCATTTCTCTTGAATAGCGATTAGCGGGAGCCACTCTGTTAGTTTTTGCCAACAAACAGGACCTACCTGGTGCTTTATCAAAAGATGCCATTCGAGAGGTGAGTCTTTTGTTAAACAGGGACAGTCATTTGTATTTTACTGAAACTGCCTTGCTGTTGGAGGAATTTGTGAATATGCTCTTGTTTTCTGAACGTTGTCCAGGTTTTAACCCTTGATGACATTAAGACCCATCACTGGTGCATTGTGGGATGCAGTGCCGTTACAGGTGAGAACCTGCTTACAGGTGTGGACTGGCTACTTGATGATATAGCAGCTCGGATCTTTACAGCTGACTAATGGACTGAATGTTTTAACATTTGAGATGGACAATAAAAAAAATTATTGTTGGACTGAATGTATGCAATGCAAATGTTTTTCAAATATGTTTAAGATGGATGTCTAAGCAGGGTTTCTGCAGATATGAACAAGTTAAATTTAAGACTTTTTAAGACCTTTTTAATACCACCTTATATGAAATTTAAGACCTAAACCTGTAATGGAAATACACATTTTATTACATACATATATGTAATATTTAATGTGTATAAATTAAAAAGAAAACAAAATATCATTGCTGTAATAAATTATATTTATTACTACGATATACAGTGAACTTTTCATATCAGCAGACAATATTCCATACAAAATATCCCTGCAAAATAACTGCATCACTGAGATTTTTGGTGGAGTAAATTTATTCTGAAGCAATAATTTCATCAGTGTTCTATCATATTTTACATACTTAAACCTGCATATTTACCTTTACAAAGGCCTATTTTTAACCTTTTTAGATGTATGCATCATCTTACATGTCAAATTATTACAATTTATCATTAATTCAATATACACTATAGGGCTGCTACCAGTCATTAAATAATTTACACTGCAAATAACAATAATTACAACTGCAATAAATAATGTTATGAGATTAATGTTTTAAATGCATTTATGAGTATACAAATAAGAAATGTTGAGGGGAAAAATGCATACTTTTCAACAAACTTCTCAACTTAACTACCAGTAAGTGGTGGTAAGACACTAAATGAGTGAGTCACTGAATCATTCATTCACCTGATTGAGTGTGTTATCATGCTGGTATCTTAAGGACTTTCGTGGACAGCTGACTCCTAAAGTTTTTGATATTCTTCATATTCTGTGTGGTGGTCAGATAAGTTTAAATAGATTTTTAGTTATGAATAAACTAAACATTTTGAATTTTTACCTCAGTGCGTTTCTTCTGCGTTTGTGTGCTGTCACGCTCGTTTATTCTGAAGTCTCGAGACAAACAGTGAGCCTCAGCAGCGCGAGCTTGTATTCTGTATTCTGCTAATTTACTGCATTCTCTGATGACGGAGTAACTTACCGCGGGGTAGAAAAAAATCTTCGGTCTGTCCAATGATTGTAAACAGTCATTAGGTCCGTCAGACTGAAGATATTTTAGCGGTAATGTGACCAAAAAAAAAAATTTAAGACCCATCGAATCCGAATTTAAGACATTAAGACTTAAGGACCCGCGGACACCCTGCTAAGTAGCTGTACTACCAACAGGTAGTGTGTTTTTGAAAGCCCACAAAGCGATTTGCTTTAGAAGGTTGGAAATGGAAGCTATTTGTTTTCCTTGTATGCTGTTCAACACCACTTGTAACTAGCTCTTGAGTGTTCAGCTGCATTAAGATACATCATGTCTGCCAAGAATACACTCTACCTCAACAAATCTGGTCTATTCTATTACCAACTGCTGCTTTTTCCTGCCGTTTAAAGTAATTACAGGTCAGTCTCCAGCCTTCCTCTTTGATTGAAGATCTACAGAGGGTGGCTGCTTCTCATCTAGCCACGTTTTGTTTATATTCATGAATCTGCCCCCCCATCGGAACACTTAAAATGCCATTTAAAGGGTAGCAAATAACCTTGTTGCTTTTTACACCTTAGCTCAGTTTGTTCTCAAGTAATTGTCTTCCTTCAAATCTTAGCTCAGAGAAACAAGTTTGTTTCTATTGAGAAATTAATGCCCAATTAACAATGAGATTAATGCTATGCATTTTCTCATGACGAATCGGACACTGTAACCATTTTTGGTGTTGTGACAAAAGCTTTTTAAGTGAACATTAACAATTATCTTGACCTAACAATGAACACTACTTCTAGTGCTGTGAGTGTTAAGCTTTACATACCAACACCATCAAGTTTTATAAATCAATTAACTTTGTTCGTTCATGACGCATAAAGCTTGACCAAGCAGAATTGCAATGAAAAGGGTCACATTTCCATTTAGATCACTGAAAATCCCTGATACAAACATGAAAGCAAAAGGTGATGACTCGGGGACGCAACTGTATTTGAAACGGCAAATTCAGAAGAGCCATTTATTTTGCAATCTTAGGAATAAAAACTGTCAGTTACTAACGCCAGTCAACACTTCAGTTCAGCAGATCTATAGTACAGGGATGAACATCAGGTTTCAGCCAGTTCAACTTCTCAGATGCAAATTTAAGTGACCTGGAGGGGGAAATAAAGAAAGAAAGTCACTAAAAGTCTCTTAAACCAGTACCTTTAAATTGTCTACATTTAATCAGAATTATCAATCAGTCATAACACATCAGACTGGGGCGATATACGTCATCATTTAAAAAGTAATACAACTAATAAATTAACATAAGCCAATACGAAAATACAAACCTTTATGGTCAGTCATGGAACTACCTGAGGGGAAAGAAAAAAATCTAAATGAAAGTTTCACAAGTACAAATTTTAAATGAAACCATTTACTGAGGTCAGACGGTACCATTCAGTCAGATAAATCAGACTGGGGCGGTAACTCAGTCATCACACCAACTAGTTCATATGTAACTCAAGTTGAAAATACAAAACACATACCAGCTTCAGTATGTTCAAGGGAGCAGAACTTGAAGAATTCACCGTAGTCCTGCAAGGAATCAAATGAGAAAAAAATAAAGTTAGGAGACTGATATATGAAAAGGAAAACTTATCTACGCTAAAGCTAGTCCTTCTCAGACTGTTGGTAACCCCAACAAGTCATCCCCTTATTGCCCAGGCAACACCAGTGGGTTCACCATTTCAGGTTCTGGTATTGGCACAGGGCGTAAGACGTGTGCAAGTTACATCATAAAAGGACCAGCTGCAATAAAGTTTGTCATTTTGTTTATTAGGAATGGAATTCTCACCTGTGAATTCACCACATCAGGTGTGCCACCTATAGGTTAAGAAAAAAAATCTTCAGAAGGGAGAGCTACAAAAATGCGGAGATACAAGTGCCAAATCTGTAACATCAGTAAACGTTAATTTATCAGCAGGACTTCAGACGAACGAGACTGCAAAAATCATCATACGTTACAGATGGAATTGAGCACTGAGGTACAAGTTAACTAAAAAGGGACTATTTCAAATGGAACGACATGGCAAGTGCATATTCTTACCTGTTTGAGAGTACTACATGCGTGCAACCTTTTAGGAGAGAAATCTGGGCATCACTTCAGATACAAAAAGCATGCAAAATGCAGGCGAAACATGTACTGTAACATCATTTATAAAGACTTATCAACAGGATTTCAGACGAACGAGATTCCAAAAAAATAATCATACGTCACAGAGGGACTGAGTATTAAGTAGCAGCACATGGGAACAAGTAACCTTACCTAATACCACCAAAAGGACATTAGCCTCTCAGTCTTGGACAAATAACAGCCCTGTCGAGAAAAGAGGAATGATGTCTGACACGGTCATATGGAAAATCAGAATGATAAGCGGCCAATAAATCTCTCAGATGTTCGTTACTTTTCACATAGGGTCAAAGTGAGCTAAGTATCTTCATCACAGAGACAGAGCAAAACACTGAATTTAAAATAAACAGAAGTACCTTGGGAGTTCCAGGTCTTTGGTGAGAGCTCATTGTGCCGACACTACCTAAGAGACAAAAGAGCTTTATTAAAACTAGGGCTGGACAATAATTCAATATCAATATATATATAGTGATATAATTTCTTCAATAACTGATATGATTTTTACAACTTTCCGATATACATTACCAGTGTTTCCCATACATTGATTTATTAGTGGCGTTTGACTTCTTTGAATAAACATGAGCACTGCACGTTTCAATCAAAACGCGGCACGGGTGTTTTATATGAATGTATCTCTGAAGGGAACCGACTGTCTTAAGAAAAGTTTCGATGACATTTTCATCTGATGAAGTAGCTCATGATCGGAGCTGCTTTGATTACAGCCATTGCCTGGGAAACCGCTAGTTTTATCACTCTAAAAGCGCCTCCTGCTGGCAGAGAGGATCGCTTTTCATACCCTTTTTTCTGGCTGAAGCACATTTGTTTCAACCTATATTCAGCCTACACTACTAGTGAAAAGTTCTTGAACAGCAAGATTGTTACTTTTTTTTTTAGATTTCTCTTCTGCTCACCAAGGCTGCATTTATTTG